GAAGGAAGGTTGGGCAATCCTACTTCCGTAGTGATACTGCCTCGGAAACCCAAGGAGGGGTCGCTATGAGTCGGGTTTGACTCGACGGCACATAACAACTAACAACAACAACCCCTATTTGATAGGTTGGAAAACTGGAGTTCAGAGAGACTAACTTATTGTAGATAATCTAATGTCAGTAAGCCAATAAAGCCAAATTTCAAAATCAGGTCTCCTGCACTGGAAAGATCATGTTCTTAGCTACTAGAGCACAGCTAATAGGAAGAGTTAATAGGCAGGAGCTTCAAACAAGGGAATCCTTGGAACAGGAAAACACCTAAGATCCAGAAAAGAGGCTAGGACCAAAGGAAGTGAGGGAAAATGTTCAAAGTCTGGAAGAAAGGCAAAAGCATTTCTAAGGCTAGATCTTCAGATTCCTCAGGTCACGAAAAGTTTAACATCCTCTCTCTTATTTTCATAGGAAAGATCATCAATCTTCTTTACAGCCTTTCTCTCCTGACAGCCAGTTCTGCTGTGGTGTTCAACACACAGGAGACTTACCTGCACAGCAACACCACACGCCCACCTGCTCTCTGTAGCAGCAAGACCCTGCACATTTATGTCAGGGCATAAAGCCTATTCCTTTCAACAAAAAGCTTACCGAGGACTGAAAATTTGGAATTTCACTCAACAAGATTTTTATTTGGAAATAGTGTTAAATTATCAGATCATCATTAGTAAAGCATCTGTCATTGATACAGAAGCTTAACTCAATTTCTTCATACAAAGTAGCTCTATGGAAAATACTACAACTCTTGTATTAAAACACATTATTTGTTTTGAAGGACAAGTCAATGTTCCTCTTGTCTGATATCAGTAAATTTGTCAGTGTTGTTACTGTTGTTAGGTGCTGTCGAGTTGGCTCTGACTCATAGCTACCCTATGTACAACAGAACGAAACACTGTCTGGTCCGGTGCCAGCCCCACGATCCTTGCTATACCTGAGTCCATCATGGTAGCCACTGTGTCAGTCCACCCCATTTAATGAGAGGTCACTTTAAGTATGAAAAACAAAGCTATATAACATTGTCAAACTTCCAGGGCCTGCTTCCTCACTGATCAACATCAGAGAGATGAAGAATCCTCACTAGGATTCCTTCCTATGTGAATATTAGATTTTAGATAATGAACAGTACGTGACAGAAGCTTCTAAACATACCTGAAACCATTTACTATATTACCGTTTCTAAAAACCCTGCTTTGACAATTCCTCCCAACAAAAGAAAGTAAGATAGAAAGAACAGTGTGATGCTTACCATGCTCTTTCCTGAGGGTCACTCAACACATCGTATGCTGCTTGGATTAATTTAAATTGCTCAGCTGCTTCTGCAGCGTTATCCAGATTCTTATCTGTCAAACATAAAGTCATAAAAATTTAATCATCACAAAGACAGAAGACAGGATCTAAAAGGAACCTCTATCCATCACAAATGCCACAAGTAGGTCAGGAGCGCACTAAACAAAAATGACCAAAAAAAAGCAAAGGATTCCAAGAAACAGCTGAGAACCAGAATCAAGCAACTACTTGAGTAGAATTTCAGGCTTTCTCCTAAGCCTTGATGTATCCATCACTGAGCAGCCAATTGCAAATGGAAAACCCTGATTAATACACATTTTAATTCTAAAAAGAAAAAAGAAACTGTCAGTTATGTAAAGAAATATTACTTAGTATTAGATTATGGTTAGGGCTCATATGATCTTTAAGCTTTTATTTCTCATCAACATATAGTAAAATCAATCTCATGAAGTTTAAAAGATATATACTAACTACTTATTCTTCCCCTAGCTGTCCTTCTTTAACCATGATATTCAGAAAGCATCGTCACCTCAATGTGGCAGTGCCCTTCCAAGACGGCCCTTAATATCCCCACCTCCTGATATTCACACCTTGTATAGTCCTCACCCATGCTGGATGGGCTGTGTGGCCAACAGCAGAAGGCACAAGTAATGATACATACTTTCAATATCACACCAGAGCTTCCATCTCAGGCACCCCTTTATCCCTATGCCTCACTCTCCTTCTCAGATCACTCAGGGAGAAGGTACCTGCTACAGGTAGCCAGTGGAGAAGCCCGCAGGGTGAAGGATGGCAGTCTCTGGCTCACAGCCAGCAATGAGCGAAGCCAGACAGCAATCTGTGCGTGGCCTGCAAGCGGTATCTCCAGCCTGAGCCAAGCCTGTGACAACTGCAGCTCGAGCCCACAACATGATACAACCTCATGAGAAACCCTGAGCCAAAGCCACCCAGCTGAGGCGTTCCCAGATTCTGATCTACAAAAACTGTATGAGAGTCTACATCATGAATGTTTGCTAGTTATATTATTTGTTTTGGGGTAATTTGTTCCGTGACAATAAATAATTAATACACCTGGTGAGTGTTTTGAATCTACAAGGGAGCAAACCAAAGTCCAAGCTACAACCCAAAGTGTGTCTTCTAAAAGGTTAGGAGAAAACATGATGACAAAAATGCATTCCCTACAAATGGTCTTGCAGACTTAACATAAGGCCTTCGAGGGCACCCTGCTAGCTCTTCTCAGATACCACCCACACTGGTTTCAAGTCCTTCAGCTAGCCTTGTGCTCCACAACAGACACAGACACAACTGCTGCAATCTGCTGTGGCTCTTTGTGCTAACATGCTTACACACAAAAACTGTTAGCTATTATTTCAGAATCATGGTCCTTTACAAATGAAAGAAGCCTTCTATTGTGTTTAAAAAAAAAACTCCTTCCCTATAGCCCAGCTGTGAAGCAGAAGTAATACAATGCAAGTCTAATTCTCCTTTCCCATGGTGGCCCATGTGAAGACAGACAATGTGTTGTTGTT